AATAGATGAAAATGACTTTACCATCATGCCAGCATTTTAGTTGAGTTGAGTTTCTCTAAAAAGTTTTGATGTGAGAGGAGCACCTCTTTGCCAAGACAGAATAGTGAAAGTTTGAACATCATAAATAATGTCATTATTATTATTATTATTTTTTTTTTAACATAACGAGAGTAGCTTTGTCCGTATTTGTAAATCTAAATCAGAAAGAATAGATATATTTTAATTTTTATACACTGGAAGTTATTTGATGCTTTCGTTAGCAACTCCAAGGCTTATCCAAACATCCTCTTGAAGGCAGTCTCAAAAAAGTGAAACAATTTTCATTACAATCACACACAATATCAAGAATCCACATCATCATGCCAAATTAGATTATACCTCTTGGTTGGTTGGTCAAGTCTATATTCAGATCTTTATTCTAGGACAGGGGTGTCCAAACTCGGTCCTGGAGGGCCACTGTCCTGCAGAGTTTAACTCCAACTTGCCTCAACACACCTGGCTGCCAGTTTCTAGTATGCCCAAGACCTTGATTAGCTGGTGCAGGTGTGTTTAATTGGGGTTGGAGCTAAACTCTGCAGGACAGTGGCTCTCCAGGACCGAGTTTGGACACCCCTGTTCTAGGACATGTAATGAATGTTTTAACAAAGACAAAACCATAGTGTGAAGAAGTTTCCTTTTGAAAGATTTTCCTTTTGAATAATCACCTTCATACACTCTTGCTTTGGGGAAAAAAAACATGGATTGTGAAAGTAAAATATATAATCACATGGCATAGATGGCTCTTGGCACATTCCTTGTTTATGATGGGAAAGAAGAGCAAACATTGCTTGTCTCAGTGCAGGGCATAGTTTTGCTCATTTGACATGGGTCTATTCTTAGCAGCAAAGTGCATCAGTCATTTTCAATAATTCAAAGCTCATAAAACAAGAGTTGAATTTGGACCATCCCAGTAAATGCTGATCAGTCCTACTGGTAAAAATGAAAACATAGTTACATAGCCTGTTGAAATTTCCTTTTGCAGTTTACAACCTTGTAAAGTTTACAAATTATCTGGTGTGTCTTAAAACTGGGTCATTTGAGAAAGTCCATCATCTGAGCAAACGGGACTGTGTCAAATAAGGCTCAAGATTTCTGGAGAGGTTAGTCAAACACTGAGTGTTTAGCAGGCTTTATCGGACTGTCATACTAATGTTTGTAAATTCAGAGCTGATTTGTCCTTGGGGAACATCTGCCTACAGCAGCTTCATCATAGAGTCTTTTCACTGCACCTACTGCTTCTGTGCAACTATATGATCATTATAATAGCAAACATATAATATTTCTTTCACTTATATGAAATGCCCAAGAGGTTACAGCTTTTATTTCACTCTTTTATCTTTTCCATTGTATCAGGTTCATTTTCACCCATTTTCAGGAATAAAAAATACAATATAAATACCACATTGTTTTTGATATTGAAACCAGGGGCCCACTCTTCGTACGTCGCTTAATGCATCCGAGATGAAATGTCATGATATCTGATATACAGGTGCATCTCAATAAATTAGAATGTCGTGGAAAAGTTCATTTATTTCAGTAATTCAACTCAAATTGTGAAACTCGTGTATTAAATAAATTCAGTGCACACAGACTGAAGTAGTTTAAGTCTTTGGTTCTTTTAATTGTGATGATTTTGGCTCCCATTTAACAAAAACCCACCAATTCACTATCTCAACAAATTAGAATACTTCATAAGACCAATAAAAAAAATTTTTTAGTGAATTGTTGGCCTTCTGGAAAGTATGTTAATCATCACGCTAATCAGGATCTGACTAATTGGGTTCTCCGAACGCACCTGTTGTTGATGATTAGTATGGCTGGATTGCGTTATCTGAGATAATTGCGCGTTCATGGGTTGGTTTAAAAAGGGCTATGTATCGTTACTCAAAACCACGATCAGCAATGCAGCGATTGGCTGGCGGCAAGACAGCAACGTAATGACATCATATAATTAAAAAAGACACCTGACGAAAAACTTGACACATTTTTGGACTTTTATAAGGAAACAGCCAAGCGAACAAAACAACATAAATGTTATAATAGGTAAATGAAATGTGCACTGTTTTTATTTTATTTAAATTTTTTTTAATTTATATTCACGATTTCTAATGTTTGTACAGGCTTTACATTTTTATTTCAATGTAGTAATTAGCAATTCATTTAATTTGATATCTGAACAGATTTGTTACGTGACAGCATTAATTAAAGTTTCTTAAGGGTCAGGATCATGTTATCTGCATCTCCTGTGCTCCATCAAGCCACTCCCATAATAGCTGTCATCATTCAAATTAATGCACGACTCTACATTATCTGTATAGCATGTGTGTAAGACTCGAATACAATTATGAAGTAATAATTTTATGACGAATAAATCTTTCAGTGAGTAAAACTGGCTGTCTATAGTATTAAAGACTACACAACATTATTATATAATCTTTAAATACATTTTTAAATGATTATTATTTTAAATTATTGTCCCTGGATTAGTAGGGTACTCTTTTAATAAAGTAGCTGTGGTAGAGGACAGATTTTAAGTATCAATTCTGCTTAAAAAGATGCAATCTAATCCTGTTTACATGAAATAAGCCTGCTCCTGAGCAGGTTTAAAGGGTTAGTTCACCCAAAAATGAAAATAAGCCGATAAATTACTCACCCTCAAGTCATCCTAAGTGTATATGACTTTCTTCTTTCAGAAGAAATCCAGCTGGAGTTATATTAAAAATTGGCTTTGATCTTTCAAGCGGTTTCATGGCACTCAGCGGGTGTTGCATGCTTCAGTCCAAAACAAGTTAAATAAGCGTCCATCCATTAAAAAAAAAGTGTCTCACACGGCTCCGGGGGGTGAACAAAGGCCTTCTGTAGTGAATCGATGCGTTTTTGTAAGAAAAATATCCATATTCAAAACTTAATAATCACTTTAATGTAGCTAGCAAAGTTTCCTTACTTTAGCAATGTCTCCTCTTGGCTTATATCGAAATCCTCCGACATTCTTCTTTACAAATCCTCGTTTTGTACTTCTAATTAGTGACCAGTGTTTTGTTTTGATCTCTCCGCTGCGTTTCCGCGTGCATCACTTCTGAGTAGGGTTAAGGGGTACCAAAACCCGGTGCCAATATGAGTTTTTTTTTTTGCGGGGCTATAGCGATTAGCTCCATAAACTGTACACAAATTTGTGATCGCCTCAGAGTCAATCCACTTTAAATTTCATATGAAAATGGCGGCAGACTTCGTCTCCTCCCCGTCTGTACGAGCGGCGCAGCGCGAGCGGACTCAAACAGAAATGGAGGACACAACACACAAGGTGTGTGTTTATCGATAGATTGTTATAATATCTGTATCTGTGCAGTTCTTTGTCATAAATAGAGCTTACAAAAGGTCACGAAGGAGCAATCGGTTTCCCATCTACTGTAAAGTTTTCGCTGGCACCTCATTACACCACAGCTGTTTCCTCCAGCGAAAATCTTGGCCTTAACACATATGAACGCATACTTTATAAAATGATCATGCTGCTCTTTTCATTTGTAAATTTTATATTTAATATAAATCATATTACAGTGCATGTGGCATACCATACAGTCATTCACAGAACTGATTACTTACGGACCTGTTGCTATGACATCAACTTCGGGATGAGCTTCGAAGAACCAAACAATCCAAGATCATGCCAAATGGTCAACAATCAAATCCAGCTAACGGAGTTAGCGACGTACGAAGAACGGGCCCCAAGCTGTCTCACTGTCAGGATATCGAAACAAACATATTTAACAAAAGCCTTTTTAACAAACATTTTTTAAAGTGTTTCACTTGTATTTGACCATTCAATGTTTTTTCACCTTGCAAATCAGTTTGACCTTAAAATATGTAGCATTTAGTAAGATTTGGCCCCTCACATGTACTGTTTTCCATGATAGAGATGATAAGGCTAAAGGTCACCTGGAGTAAAAGGCTCCTAGGATGTAGTTTTTTCCTTAACTACCTGGCAACAAAAACAATATAGCTCTTTTCTAAACACCTGTACTATTGAAACCGATTGTTTTGCATAAATGAAAATGTGGATTTATTGTGATGGATGTGCAAAG